AGCGACCGAAAATTATAACTGGTCGCGGCGACAGGTCGCGCATTGGACACCGTACCTTAAGACGACTTCGGCGTCAAAGGCGTTCGCTATCTAGCAGACCTCCACCTAATTGTTTTTTTAAAAGTACTACGGTACTATACTTACAATCGATATGTGATGTTAAACATATAAAAACAAATATATGTATAAAAAAAAAATCAAATAGTAGAGAGCAAACTGTAGTTTTTTTGAAAATAATTAAGCATAATAATAGCACCCGTAGAACGTTATGTGTCTCCTCAACAAGAGTTAAAGGTTAAATACGAGTATGTGTATTATTTATTATATTTAATAGACGAGCATAGAATTTAAAAAAAAGGTATAAATATGCATATAGACCTTAATATTTCAATTGCAGAATAAAATATATATTTATGATTACAAAAGCATTATAAGTGTCTTCTCCAGTAACCTAACCTATAGCATAACGAAGGGACACTATTATTAAAAATATGTTAAATACAACAATTTATAAGTTTCATAAACGCTAGATAACTTTACATTTTTTAAAAGATGGAATTATCAAAGTAAAAAAAACATTCAAATACAGTATAGTCGGTTCAAAGAAAGAAGACATAACGCATAAATTTTTCTTTCGATAATAATTAATTAATATATATACAACGTGAGTCTGTACATAAAAAACTATACAAATGGGAACAGATTTTCCTTAATGTTATCTGAAAAAAAAAAAATTGTGCAATAAGTGAATACTTTATAATAGGTGTGTATATATAAATGTTGGCGTTAGTTACGTTTTATACTCTAAAAATTCTTAGTGAAAAACGCATCTAAGAAAGACCATGTGGAGGTCACCAACGTATTTCTCACATTCAGAGTAAACAAAAGTACTCATCGTCAATAATTAAAAGTTATACAGAGAGAATATATAAAAATATAAAATATAAATAATTTATGATAGACAGAGTGTAGAAGTTTCTTGTAATCAGAGCATATATGTGCTTTTAAGCCTAAAGAATATATGAAGATAATGTATAAAAATATGAAACATAACATAATCAAAGCAAATATTTTTATTATTATACAACGTTCCAGTAAGATACGGTTTAAGTTTATAAACTATACTAAGACTATAATATTTCCTTATAATATTAGGAGAAAGGTGTATTAATAACCAAACTCTTGGGTACAACAGTACTACACTCATGTTCGAGCATTTGTTAGCCCATTACTCTGCAACCCACCATGAGCAAAGTAAACAATATAGTGCAAGATATTTTAAAAACACTTTTATATCATAGTGGAATAAGAGCGTTAAAAATTATAATACGTACCATATTTTTTTTATTTTATAGCTGTGTTTGTATTGAATAGTATCATTAGCACCAATAACACATTGAATTAAATTCCATTCCAATGAAAAATGTATAATCAAAACATACAACAGCTTTATCCCTATATATTATGTGGAAAAATAAATCAAATCGAATGTATTTAACGTAATTTAAACACAATTAAATCATTGTTCGACAAAAATCAATGAAAATATCCAATAGCTCTCTTCTAATATTTTATGGTAAAATAAATAAAAATAAATATAATTAAAAAATTTTAAAAACACATTTAAAGCATATAGTACGAAGAAGGTATAACTTACCGGTTCTTCTTATTTTCATAATATCATAAAAGTTTTAATTTCCTTTCGTCCAAGTGTAACGATTGATACTATAAGACTCATTTACTAAAACCTAAAAAAATAACATTTAATATGTAGTCAAACGAAAAACTTAAAAAATGTAATACATACCAAGTTTTCATTATTTTATAGCTGTGTACGTTTTGAATAGTACCATTAGCACCGATGACACGTTAAATTCAATTACATTCCAATGAAAAAAGTATAATGAAAACATACAACAGCTATCTCCCTATATTATTTGGCAAAATAAATCGTATTAAAAATATTTAATACGTATAAAAAATAAATTTTAACTAAAATATAATATGTACCATGTTTTCTTCGTTTTATAGCTGTGTGTGGGCGTTTAATAATATAATTTTACAGTCTTTCACATCAAATCAATATATGTAATGAAAGCATTCGATTATTTTTCGGTAAACAAATCGAATATTAAATAATATACTATGTTATTTAATATATTATATTAAATAATACGATTAAAGCGTAGTACGAAGAATTAATAAAATGCACTTGAAAACGATTTTAAAATAAACATTTGAAACGAAAACGAAAAAAAAAAGAAAACGCAAGTAGATTGCATGCTGAACTCTCGGTTCGATCGACGGTGGAAGCGGTAACGATTACCAATAGTAGAGTAAATCCTGCAAAGACCCGGTGGGACAAGACAACTAACCCGACGGCGCCGATCCCGGAATCGTAACCTGTACCTACAGGGTCCTAACGGTTTTAAGCCTAACGCCTACCTACCTATCAAATTGGAATCGTTGAGGAAAACTTATGCATTTAAATGGTTCGGCGGGGATGTAAGGTAGAGCGACGACCGTCTATGAGTTACGAGAGAGCGAAACGTCACGGCGGCCCGAGGGGAACAGGTACCGATCGCTCCGATTGGGCTGGTGCTTGATGGTCGGACATCTTGGATTTTCATCCGGTCGCATCGGGAAAACGGCCGGTCAGTAAATCAAACGGACCGCTGAAACGGAAAGACGGGACAAAAGTCTACGGGAAACGACGGAGAGACCGTTCTAAAAAGGACTGCGGGATTTAATAAGAATTCCGACCAATCGCGTGCGAGGGAATTATTTTAGCATAATACTATGTACTAATATAAGAAAAACAAAATGTCAAATTTTTAGATATTACAATTATTTCCTGGATCTACTGGATTGCATGTTACGATAAAAGTTTGTCGACATTTGTGATGAATTTTTACTTTGAAAATGCGACTACCTACTACTATGGTAAGCTTTTAGTCGTAATCAATTATTATTCTTCGATTTTTCTTCTCTAATAATAGGTACCGAAGAGTGTTCAGCTTAGAAAGTAGCGTAAGCGGTTAAAGGTCCCCACACACTGCCGCGGTGGCGATTTTTATCCAGTGTAAACATATTATATTTATATATTACATACAATAATTGTATAGTTAGTTAATTTATTCGTATGTCATTGATAAATTGACGATTTATCTGTATAGTACGTTAGTAGGTACTATATTAAGTACTTATACTATTGTATTGATTATTTTTAATTAAGTTAAATAATATATTAAACTATAACTTGAATAGTTTCTAGGACATAATCGATACACTATATATATTAGATAGTGTTGGTACTATAGCGTATATTTCATAAGTCAATTAAAAATATCGCTGCGCGGTGGCGGTAAAATCGAGCATGCTGCGGTTTTTATAAATATCGCAGCAGCGATATTTTATCGCGACCAAATTACCGCAGCAGTGTGCGGACTCCCATTACAATACGTGTGTACAAATTTAAGTGTGTGACAGTGTGTGGGGACTAAGTCTTAAGTCAGATGTTACATAGTATTATGATCTGAACATTATCATAATATTGGTCGGCAACAAAACCGGAAAAGGCGACGAATTAATATAACTGGTTATGATTTCATTATTTTCATCAGAATTTCTTATTATACAAACGCATATTATAGGCAATACGTGCAGACGAGTAATAAAGAAATCAACAAAAGAACGCACATTAAACTTTATTTATTAAGTCATAACAAGAAACTTCGGCGGATCGAAATTGCACGTATTATGCGTTTATCACGTAAACATCGCAATAAAGATATTTTGTTACAAGTATACATTTATGTACAATGGTGGACGAGAAAAAAAAGTCGTTCGAAAGATTACAAAACCGTACGCGAGTTTTCACTTCGATACCGGTTGGTTTAGATTTTAAATTGAACGCGCTTGACGACTTCGCTTCTAGTCGAAATGTATTATTTATTTGTCGAGCGAACTTGCTGGTCGCGTGTACATGAATTAAATCCATGCGTCCCGATTCAAACAAATCTCGTATAATAATTTCGCTGTCGTCGCCATCGTTCACTCGTATTGCACACCGCCATCACATGGCCCCCAATACCCATCGCGACTATTTGATTTCGTCGGGTCTTAAAAAGTTTATGTTAATTTGATTCACGAGTCTACTATACGGTCGAGCACGCACAGAACAAGTGACACAATTGCGAATTCATGCAGGTCAAATGACGCGTGTTCCCGGATCGAACGATTCGTGGATTTTCCGATCCGTCATCCTTATCTACTATCATTTAAATGCGCATAATAAACGACACGGTGTTTTCAAGGATTCCATGCAGTCAAGCTTGGTTTTCACCTTTATTTTTCTAGAAAAACCGACAGTTCCGATACTATGTAATATCGTGAATGTTGTGACGTTACTGTACTAGACGTAAATGTCTTATGTACTACAACATCCGATTACGATGTACAACAGGGTTTGATATCAATTACTTTTTAATTTTTTTTTTTTTTTTACAAAAGTACACCATCAGATAATAATTCTATAAAATATTATAATTTGTGACCACATATTTCACAGTGTACAATTTCAATATATTAATAATTTCACGTACAATTGGTATACTTCAAGAGAGACAGTGAAACGATCAATAATAATAGTTTTATGGAAAAATAATAAATATTAGAATCTAATAAGCGTTTGTTATACATACAGAATGGTGATAGCGTTCAGCGTTAAAAAAAAAAAACATATTGTTAAAACAAGGACTTAACATTGAAATAAATCATATCAACATAGAGATTCGATTATTAGCAAAAGGTTTTTTTTCTTTCTCACGCAATCCTGTATTTATAAATACGTCAATAAATATTCAGAGTATTATACTCGTACATAATGTACACGAAAGATGAGTATAAAAAAATGTGGTACGGTACCCACAAAAATAATTATAACAATGATAATATAACATAATGTAATGTATATAATATAATATAATAATGATGAAAACATTCCGCAAAAATAAATGAAAAACGAATAAATAAATGAAAAAAATGGTAAAGAACGACGGCAATAATAATGATGATTGTGTGGTAACAATAATCGTACGACAGCGACGGTCAAAGGAACGGTTTTCGGACGGCGGCGGTGAACGCGGACGATTGGAAAAGTGATAAATAATAATTGATACGATAATAAAGTGATAAACAATAATTGATACATAATGATTTTAAAAATAATGCCCGAGTGACGCGTACGGAAATAATTGAACGAATATGGTGAGAGAAAAAAATGGGGTTAGGAGTAACGGTATGGAATACGAATTGAACGTTTCCGGGGGGGGGAAGAAAGGAGAAAAAAAATTCACATCGATGGACACGGCGGCTAGGGCTGTAGAGCGTGCGCAAGCGGTGCGAGTTTTTTCGCTCTTTTCGGGTACTGTTACTTTAATCCTCGTGTGTGGCACGAGTACGGTTTTCGAGAGGTTGACGGAAGGTTTATTTACGGCGTTCGATTTTCAAAAAAAAAAAAAAAACACGTCTCATTTTGAAAATCGAACACGTGCCGGAAAGCCTGGAAAATCGTGCTCGTGCGACCGCGGCGGTGTTAGAAAAAGATGCGAATCAACACGACCACCAGCACCGAGATCAGCAGCGATTTCGAGTAAGAGAGGATCGTGTCGTCGACCTCTTTGATCTTCGCCTCGCGGCGCTCCGTGGCCCATGGCTGTGAGCATGTGGCCTGTTCGTCGTCGTGCGCTTCGTCTCCGCCTGCGGACAGAAGTATACGGTCAGGCGCGGAATGATTTTTTTTTTTTTTTTGAAAGGGCAATAAAAAATAAATTATTTATAAATATGAGAACTTTATTGAGTATTGATAATTTTTAAAATCAATCGATCAAGTTTAATCTCCTTTGTTTTATTGCATATAACTATTTTTCATAAACATGAAGGATCTGATCTTGTTTATTATTTTTATATTTTTTTGTCTAAAAAAATAAATGGTCAGTTTCCGATATTTTACCGTAGGGTAATGGTGGTGGTAGGGTGATAATAGTATAACGAGGGTATCAGATCTGGAATTCATATGATGATGTGTAGTTCTGCATAACGTCTAGTAACCGCTGTCTGAAGTTCACGGATTTCCAATGAAACGGCTCTTAGTGCGCAGCTGAATTGATGTACTTGACCCGTTTTTCGAATAGATAAACCATGCGACTTATCTCTTTTTGTAACCCATTCGAAATCATCTTTTCGATGAATTTCCCAGCACTTTTTCTACAATCTTAGCGATAGCGTTATAAAAGTTTGATTAAAAAATGTACATACGTTTTCAGTTCACTCGCTTCTATTTTATTCGACTAGAATTGTTCAGAAAAAAAAAAACGTTCGAAAGGAGAAAAAATAATGAACTACGAAGATTACATAATATACCGAATCAGGGATGCCGGAACAGGTAGGGGGGCAGAGGAGTAGGTGCCCCTCCGGATTTTTTGTGAAGAGGCAAAGAGTATGTTTCACCCCTCCAAATATAGGCACGAATTTAGTTGATACTTCATCTGGAACAGCTTAGAGAAGAATTTGGACTGGGTATATATAATATTTTCGTAATAATAATAATCTATTATGACTAAAATCATAGATTAAATTAATTAAACATACCATAGGATTATCTGTTAACACAGTATTTCTGTCTATAAGTGAAAAATGGATTTGAAGATAATATTACAGTGCCCTACAGAATTTGTCCTTACCCGTCCGAACTATTTATAAAAAAAACATATGTTAAAAACAAACGTGTTATCAACATTAATATTTATATTTTATTACATTATAGACTTGCACCTTGTTTATTTTCAACAAAAGGATTGTTTCTGCAGTATTGATACTGCCATGTGTAGTGCATGCAGCGTATACCTAGTCAGTAGTCATTATTGCGAAATATTATCATGTCATTATGATACGTGGTTTTTAGTTGCAAGGCATTTTGAGTGATTTTAAATTACTGATTTATTTACAACTATCTATCTATAAGGTTGTTGAGTATCTTAAAATAACTTGAATTGTTTTTTTATCCCACCAGGAAAACTATAATTGTTGTCTTGAAAAAAAAAAATTCGAAATTAGTATGAAAGTAGTGGTTGATTAGAGGCTACCCTCAGTTTGCCCCCCCCCCCCCAATATATTGTTCCGGCGTCCTGTACAAAATAGTTGTCAATCGCTTAATAGTTAAAATAAAAATGGGCAGGGCAAGTATTAATTCTCATTAAAAAACCGAGTGGGAAAGGACCCTTGAGGAGGCTACACAAGAGGTGGGTGGAGGCACGGCGAACAAATATATAATAAGTATAGATTCTACGTATAGAATTATTTGAGCATCGAATAAGAATCAACGATGGGAGAAATCGTAGGAGACATCAATAGTCCACCCTGAACCTGAAAAGTAGAAGCATAAGAAGAATTGTTGTTTCATCGATGCCGTACATCGCGGGAATCTAAAAACCATCTCCCGTCGTTGCGGCGACTCGGCCACAGACCAGGGCTTGTCGGACGCGAAAGAAAAACAAAAACCACTGCACCAAACAACCCATACCAGTGTCGCGTGTCCTACGTGATGTTAACAATGCTGACACTCACCGGTGCGATGATGTGGCAACAGTGTTGACACATCGTCCGTAGCTCCTTTGTCCTCGGCCATCGCTGTTACAGTAGGTTCGTCCTCGGATACCGCTGTTATAGTCGGTTCGTCCTCTGCCACCGCTGTTACAGTCGGTTCATCCACGATCGCTAATGCGACGGCGGTCATCGCTTCGTGCTCGCCCGCGGACATCGTCTCTTCCTCCTCGATCGCGACGGCGGACGGAAGGGACGAGGGCGTCGACGGTCGCGAACGGTCCGACCCGTATTCGTCCGCATAGCTCGGCGGTGGTGACATCTGCTTCGGGTCCGGTTCGTCGTCGTCGCATCCGAACTTTAGCCAGAAGTCATGGTTGCCGCAGCTGTCGGCCAGGTGTCCCCGATCGGACGACCGCACCAAGACGGACTTGTCCAGATCGAACGGCAGGAAACCGTCCGCGCCGTGGCCGCCTTGCGGTGTGTCCCAATCGTAGGAATGGCGGCGATGGTAGCTGCCGCCGGCCACGCGACGCTCGAGCTTTGGCGGCGAACGCATCATCGGCATCGGCGGCGGCGTGGTGGCCATCTCCACTGCGGCCGTTTCCGCCACAACGGCCGTCTCCGGCTCCGCGGTGGTTGTCGTGCGCGTCGTCGAGTCGATCACGTTCGTCCCCTCCGGTTGCGCCCTCGCCCACGCCTTCAACTCGTCCACCGATGAACCTGCTGACAAACTCAATATTACGCTAAATGCACTCGATATTGCATTCACGACGTTCCGTAGAACGCGACGAATACCCTTTTCCGTTGAGTAGTCAAAAGTAGATATGTGTAGCTATACTAAAATCAGTTATAATCTGAGGATTTTACTATCGGTGGAGTTTACGTGTTTTCAAGTTGAAAATACGTGCTGGTTGAATTTACATTTTTTTTTTCAGGTAAAAAAAAAAAGTATCAGTGGAAATTACATGATATAAATCCAACCCTAAATCGACTACCTTTAAATCGGTAGAATTTACAATCGCCCGTCTTATCATCTTTCATCAACTTTTACCCTATCTTCATGGCCCTACACTTCATTTATGACTTTTGATAGCAACGCTTCGACGTTTCGTAAAAATACGCACTCGGACGATCAGCGTAGTCACATTTATTGCGTGACACTACAATTTACCATATACGCAGTCGTAGAACACTATCTGTTTGAAGATTTTTATGAAATCAGCCACAAATGTTCTAATTAATAAAAATCTATGCCCAACGTAATTTGTTTGATACGAATATATAGAACTATATTTTACTGACATTTTTAATTCTTTTTAATAACGATTTTTTTTTTTAACGTTAAATGATTAAATATTTCATAACTTTCTTAATACTGCAATACAGCTACTCTATTGGATATGCAAACGAGATAATTTTTGTCCGAGATAGAAAATAATAATTTATAGTCAATAATATTCAATATGAACAAACGTTTCATAATCGATTCCAATCAAATGCCTACGTTCTGTAAGGTATTTTAAATTTGATTTTGTCGTATTGTATCCATTTTTAAATCAATTAAGACCGTCTGTACTTCCACCAATATTTAAATAAAAAACGTAGCTACATGTTTAATCGAATTTGGTCTTGATCATTGTTTCCATTTATTAAAACTTTGATCTATAATTTTATGGGGTTTTGAATAACTAAATGCAACGAATAATTCTTAATAAGGATATAGACGAATTACATGTCGGCGAATTTAAAAATTACCCTTAATAAGTACCTACTGAGTACTATTAATACGTGCTATAATTGTTCGCGCATTGCCAGATATAGCGAGCTAATTGCAAATATTATTTTGTACGATTTATAAATTAATAATAGTTATTGATGCAATGCAATGAATATAATAAGAAGGTTTGGCATTAAAATGTTTTGCAATTATGAGATACAAAAATATAAATATATAAGTAATTATATCATATAGACTGTGTGAATCGAGGAGATTAACTTTTAATTTAGGATAGTTTATTATTCGAGCTCCCTACTAACTGGGACAGTAGAAATAAGTAGTAGTAAATTATAAAAGTGATTAAGTCTTAAAATTAATTTTTACTGTTCATTTGATATAAAAAAAAGTTAATTAATTTTAGCTTGGAATTTCGGTAAAAGTATAATCGTAGAAAAGGTTTGTTTATAAATCGAAAATTTATTTGAACTAGGCTTATACAATTATTATTAATTAAATATCTGACAAAAAAATTTTAACAATAAAGTCAGAAACATTTTATGACATTATAAATTGCACTAAATATTATAAAAAAATATTTTTAAGAAAGTAGAATATACACAAACAATTCAATTAAATACTCGTATAATATGTATTTATAGAAACTTTCTTAAAGTAGTATAAACTTATCTTTATAAGAACAGTTCAAAAATGAATTCTAAATTTGTTTTTTTGTTCATTAAACGATATAGTTTTTTAATTTTTTATTATTAATGAAGTAAACAAAGTTCGGTTAATAAAACGTTTATTATAAACTCTGCACTTAAATACCGAGAGTTTGAGGAACTCTGAGCAATAAAAAACGTTTAAATATGAGTTTAAATGCCATATAAAAACATAAGAACTGATGGAGTTCTAGATATTGTAATTATTATAACTATAATGATTTCGTATTTAAATAGTCTTATCTAAATCATTCCTATTTTAAATATTACACATTGTTTCGAAACGAACTTAAATAAAAATCATAGTTATTAAAAGTTAATAAATGTTAATATTAAAATCTTTTCTAACGTTTAATTAAAATTGTATACTAGTGTGGTGTATTTAGGAATAGTCTAAAATGAGCTAGGTACCAATTTAAATTTTAAAACCTAATAGCTAAAAAAAATTTCGAATGCGTAATTGTATAAAATACCTTATTTGATTTTCATTGTAGTCCAAAAAAAAAAAAAAAATCAATAGTGAAAAACGTGCGGCATTATTAGTAAACTCCAACGTTATTTTAAAATATGCACAAACTTATGAAAACGGGGTCCGCCGCCGATGGTTTCCAACAAAATTAAATGTAATAACAAAACTACAATAATGAGAATAACTGTAATGGTCATTTCAAGTAGTAGTGTGGAACGGGTCGTAAAAGTAAATCCTAAAATCCTTCTAAATACGATTTTGTCCATTTGGTATTTTTGAACTCGCCTTTCTCTATAATATACAATGAAACACAATTCACTTGTATACATTACTTTAGCCTCCGTGGTTATTCTTAAACTACATAATTGTAGTCAATAAAAATAAAAAAAAGTTAATAAAACATGCACTTAATTTGCAAACCACACAGAACGCAATAAATAATATTAAATTTTGTTTAATAAATGTTTGCAACAGAATGTTTAGTAATGCGCAAATTATATTTATATTTTATTTTGATTTACAAAAGGGAAACTTTTCCGGAAAAATGTATTTATGCACGAACTGAATTATATCAAAAAATATATACAGGAAATATGGAACTACGTTCATTATAGATTGTTATCAGTCTTATAAGTATATTTGTTAAGAAATAATTAATTAAAACAGTTCAATAAAAATATTTTTGCTCCGAAATGAAAGAGAAAAATATACTTTGTACCCGGTAAAAAAATAAGCACTGCAACTAGTATCTAGAACAGTGGTTTTTAACCGGTGCACCGCGCCCTTGAAGTGAGCTGCAATAAATCTATAAGTTATTTTATAAGTATGTATTTACCAGTATTATTATCGATATTCGATAACAACTGATAGAACTTATCGTTACGTTGTAGATGCATATTATATTATTTATTGTAAGAATGCCCGTCGCAGCCGTCTCAATCGGTCGAAATCATTAAAATATTTCACAATAATTAACCCACTAATAGAGTAGACTGTAAACAGTGTACGTATGTATATAAAATAGTATTCACATATTACATGGATTGGTGTGCAGCGAAAATTTTGAAGGAGATGAAGTGTGCCGCATTGTTAAAAAGGTTGAAAACCACTGATCTAGAATATACGGTACACAAAGGAATAATAATCTATGAGCAGCAGTCATATGTTATGGCATAAATAATTTTTAAAGTCGCATAGGTATCTCGTTTTTATAATAAGAAATGTAACATTATTATGATATATTTTTTGACGAATTATTATCTAAAATAAAGTGTTCCATTTAATTAAATTATAAATAAAATATTACTTGACAATAAAGTAAAATAATCATGTACATTCTTAATCTTTTTTGGTTACCAGTACAAATTTAAATATATAATGTATTACTGAGATTAGTGATGTATATTTAATTTCCTTACGTTGAGGGGGGGAGGAGTATATTATTATATGGTTTTTATGTCAATATCAAACGTATATTTTTAATCAAAACTATATTTTTTTTTTCAGTTATTTAGGAGAGGATTTATTCCCAACTATCCTCACCCATATTTGAAAGCCATAGACGGTGAGTAACTGAATATTACTAATTAGTATGACTTCATGAAACGTTGAGAATATACCTACGATAAATAACGTAATAACATAAAGTAATAAAGTTTAATATAAAAAAAATCAAAATCATAAAAATTCTTCATGATCCACTGATCAAAAAACTTTGTATATAACTATTATTGATGATTTAATGAATTTTATAGTCATACAAATTTAATAATTATAATTTCGTTCCAACACGTATATGTTAAAATTTAACAATATTATAGTAAAAAATAATTATCACATTTATAAATTGAAAGAATAATACATTTTGTGAATGAAACTGTATTAGGAAAATAAAATTAAAAAAAGGTCCTGCACAAAAACACAAGTAACAAAGTTATTTATGATTATTAATTTGGTAACGTGATCTACAGTATTTTCATAAACTGTAATTGTAATAATTATAATTATTATTTCCTTAGACTTAAATAAAAATATCCAAACAATGGTAATATGATCAAATATTCTGTTTCTAAACAAATATTTTGCAAAAATAAAACTACAATAGTTTAGGTATTAGTGGATTTGTACAATTATAATTCAATTCGGTAAAAAATCATATGGATGAAATTAAAAATAGTTACAGTTGATTTCATAAAATGAAAGCTGCAAGCTTAAATTAAAAAATACATTTTATGCTTTAGAGTTTAAAATACACATTGTTTGTATAGCTTAAAAACACATTGTGCTTTAAACGAATTTTTTCTGTTAAGAGTTATCCTCTGGGGGTGTTCACTATTCATAAAAAAATATCACTATTAATTGTGTTTTCGTAGATCTTAAGCCATTAATTAATATGATGTTAAAATGAAAAAAATTTTGTTTTATTAAAAAAGCACAATGCATTGACGATTTATGTTGTTTTGTAAGAATTGTGTTCGTAATATTTTTTCCTTCGAGATGCTGAATTAAAAGCGAGGGTTGGTTTGTGGTTATCTTTGAAATTGTCAGATTTATTTTCAAAAATAATCTTTTTAATAATATGAATGAAAATTCAATGAAAAACCAAACTTTTATTCACACTTAATAGTAAAAATATAGTTAAAGACAGCTATCAAGAATTCGATGGAATATATTTCTTTCGTAATTTAATGTTTAAAAATACCTTAATAATAACATAAGATTACTTTGGATAGTTTATCGATTTTGAGACTCGACTTTGTTTTATGTATAATTTCGGTTGATTTTATACTTGTTTATTAATAATCTGCGAATTATACGTGTTAAATACATAAAATATTAACCAAGTCAGGGAAATACTTAGGATTTTATTAAAATTATCAACATTTTTTTTAAAATTGTGTAGCTAGGTACTTTAATAGACTAAACAGTCTCTGAAATCAGATAAATTGTCTTTAAAAAAAACTATAAAATATCGATGAAATGACTTAACTAACAACGAAACATACGAAACTTTAATGAAGTTATATGATTTGATGAAAATATGAATACAATTATTTTATGAAATTAATCAATAATTTAATTAGGGATATTAAAATACAGTGAAATATCTTTCTGTAAAATGAAAACTGTCATAACTGACATTCGTTTTTATTCCGAATAATTTTTAATTAAATTAATTATTGTTTTTGGTAAGAAAAAAAATAAATTATTTTGAGAAACAAAATACGCCATTGTACTTAGGTATAATTTAATTATTAGGGTTTGAATTTCGATGTGTTAGTCTTCAAAAAAATGTTTTTAAAAATCGCAATAGATAGAAAATATCAACGAAAGTATATAATTCTTGCAAAGTTTTCTATGATAAAAAAGATTGACAAAAAATTAAGTGTCTAACTGCACCTATAAAACTAATTGAAAACAAAAATGTTATCATAAATATTTTAATTTTTAACTTATAATCTAAGAGGGATTTTGAAGGTAAAAAAATTGCCAGAAATATTAAAAACACAAAGAAAAAAAATACAAAATTAAATTATAATATGGATGGTTTAATATAACCATTGACATTAACTACACACCGATTAAACATTGATGATAAGTCATTAAAAATAATTAACTGTATGGGTGTTAATGATATTAATGATGACTTATATTTTTTTCAATTCTTTTGGAGGGTATGGGGCTTGATGAGTGTCGACGCGAACCGATATCGAAAACCGGGTCTTAACAATGGTGTTTATCATTTAAATGATAGTGCTCTTGTGCCGTGGCCAATATGCGCTGATCGGTCACCCTATCTTTCGGGCAAATGCTTAATTTATATACGGGTCCGTTGGAGTAAAGCCCGATTCACACTAGACACAAGACGAACGAAAATCTAGTCCAATTCACATACGACCGACAAAAAATGACAGACACACACTCAGTTGATTTTAATTTTCGATTCGAATGGTCGGAAATTGTTAATCCTCAACATGTATAAAAATTTAAAATTTGAAGATTTGGCCGCGACGGCATTATTATTACTCAACGAAAAGAAGAATAGCGATAGTGCGGTCAAAAGACGTTCGATTTGGGTTTTACCATGTCAATGATAATTAGTGCAAAAATGTTCGATTATAAATGCAATTTATAAATTAATTCAAGTAAAAAAGTACATCAAAATACGTATGCTTAAAATAAACTGATTTCTGGCACCGACAAAACAATGTTTGCTCGAATGTTTTGTCGTGTCGCCACGGAAGCTTACCGAACCGGCGTGAATTACCGTGTTCAATTATATTGATAAAACGTTTTTTGTCGTGTCGTACGAATGTAGTAACGGGCCTAATAGTAGTTCTGAGGAACTGTATTGTAAATGTCAACTTGCTTCTTTTGTTTTGCAGTCTTGCCAGCTCGTTCCACGAATTCGTAAGGGCGGCCCAACATGCGTCGCGACCCTCCCGACCGTACGTGTACACCACCGGTGACCTTTTGATTTCCGCCATGATCCGTGCGTGCTGTACGTGTGGCCCTAAAAATAATATCAAACGTTATGTAATCATGACGACGGAAGGAAGACAACACATCACACATCCATGTCGTTTGTCCGTATGACACATTTTTATCAACCGAACTGCATCAATCTAAAAAATTAATTATAAAAGTAACGAATAAAGTTACTTCAAATGCTAGTCAATTAGATCGGCTGATTTAAAAAGGATCCGCTAAGAAAAATAAAACTTAAAAAAAAAAAAACGTTGCGGTTGCGGTAGTTCCAATGGTAAGACGACGGAAAAACACGAGCTGATTCCTTATCAATTATCATATCGGAATTGTTTTAACAAATATCACATAATGAGTGCGATATTGCAATAAAAAATTCAGTTTATTTTGGCACATTAATTGAAATGTGTGTGTCACAAGGAGATAAATTAAATGATGGAAAGCTACCTACATACAATTAATTTATCCTTAGATTCAAATTTAAAAATGCTTTATGAACAAGAATCTAATGTTCCTGATTCATTAAATAAAAATGTAGGTCAAAAAACAGTTGCGACTTTTTTTCAATAAAAAAACTTCATTTTAAAATACCAGAAGCACAACGATTAAATACACCAACATTAACCATAAGAAAACAAATAATGGATGACTTAATAACGAAAAAGATAGGTCTCCTTTTGTCCATATTGATTCGTAATTTGACCACAGAATAGTTTAATCTCTTCTGTGGTTTGACCATGTATATGGAAAGTATAATATGATATTTACATTATGCTACCTACATTTATTAGTATTATTTCGAAAACAGTTATTTTAATTATTTTAAACTAAATTTTTATAACAATTTTTTTATTATTTTGAAAACAATATTATTATTATTTTTTGTATGTTAATATAATGTTCTGTGGTTTGTATATTCATGTTGATAATATTTTGTCACGCATAATATTTAGTTATTTGATGCACATCATATGATAGTTGTTAAAGAATTCGCTCATGGGCTGTCTCTAGACACTCGTTGGAAAATACGTTGTCGTGATCGAAACAGTTGAAATAAAATCGACGAGAGTGACGAGATAGATAGAAAGAGAAAAAGTGAGAAAGAATGAGAGAGGAATAACGTTTTCGTTCATCGATTTTTTTTTTTTTGCTGTGTCGCTGAGGGTAGTAGTATAGATTTTACGAAACGTTAATGTCGTCGTACTAAAAAAAAAAAACCGTTTCGCTTTCGACAACATCATTGTGTTCGCAGGGTATTATATTGTATGCTTGTTGCAAGACGCGTAGCCGAGGCGTGTCGGCGGATTTTCCAAAAGAATAGGATGCCATTTTATTTAACGGCACTCGCAAGATAAACGTTTAAATCGTATAATTGCGATATTAAGACGTTTATTATTTGAACGAGCGTACACGACTCGCTGGAGAGCTTGAAGCTTCGTGAAGCCTCGTCCGTACCCCAACTACGAACGCAGTAGTGGTTATTCAGTAACGGGGCGGCAGTAGTGTATAAGATAACGGGCTTGCGGTAGGAGACACATAAACATACAAAACATATCGTGCCCGAGCACAAAGCATAAAATATTCTCCGAAAGACGCGCGCATGTTTGTGAAAAGTTAATATTGCTCAACTTTGACAAATGGTCTGTCCGCGGCGCGTCGTCTTTCATCCGGGAAACGGCATTGCGGCGACAAAATAATTATACATCAGTCCCCTGCTGAACTGTGCACGTAAATAGATGCCGAACCGTATTCTTGGACCGCAGGCGAGAGGGGTCGGGCGGAAACAAATAGAAAGAGCGAGAAAAACACACGATCGCGCGCACACGATAACAATACGTGATAATACGTAGATAATATTACGGATAAGCTCGTCCGGGGGTTTTATTCCGGAAGGTATATTAAAAAACTTTCTGCCAACGAAATTAAAGTTCGAATCAAATATTCCGATTTGCCACGATTGTTGTTTTTATTTATTGCATTACAAAAATTCGGTATACGTTAGAAACCGTCAACACACGTGCGCGCGCCGTGTGAAAGCGAACAAAAACGTCGTCGGAAGTGTGAACCTCACTCGTAACGTAACTATTACCAAAGGTACGTAGACGCAACGAAAACGTGTCTAAAAGCAATAAGCGAACGAGCGACATAGCCGAAGGGACGATTTGTTACCTGAGTGTCGTCGGCGGTATTCTGTACAGCGGTAGGGAATTTTCGATTGCGAAAAGCCAAGACCGCGTCGAACGTCGTACACGAGTGCACTTGTTCGGGAACAACTCGAAACGTTTCGACGGGAGTTCGATTTTTACCAATATTGCGCGGGTCTCGTGTCACCACGTAGCGTGCCGGACTAAAACCCGTCGGACGGGTGTCTGTGCACCAGATATACACGAACGTCGTGATTGATTGCGCTGCGGTTATAACTGCGATATTATTTCGTATTTCCGAGAGTTGTTATTCACGAGCAGATAACGACGAAGGTGCACGGCAATGCCACCACCAACTCGCAGCGTACGTTTGGAAAAGCCGACCGATTAGACGCGAAATCTAAAATTACTAGTAGAATGGAAAAAAATCAAAAACAAAAAAACTTACTTTTAAACGACTAATCGTATTTCGAAAAACCGATCTCGAACAAATCTCACTGCTACGATGTTGGAAAAATATTTTCGTTGAGCGACGGTGTTGTACAACGAACGAGCAAATGAACATCTGAACGCGATTCGAAATCCATCGATGGTTCACACCGATACAGTGCACGCCTGAACTTTCGACGTGAAAATATCGGCGACGACTACACGTCGTAATCGACAATAAAACCGATATCACAAACCGGTTTTTACCAATCGTTAAATCCGTATTCATTCGTCCGACGATAACCGAATTTCAATTTTTCCAAATCTCAAGCACGGCTCGAGAAACGTATAATTTTCCGTGCGACAACGCGTCGTCGAAGCGTACCCACTGTTCAGTCTCTGTACAGTAGAGCCGGGACGGTAAAAGTAATATTAACAAATTTGATTTCGGAAAATTGTTTCACATTATTTGTTCGCGGTCGAAAAATTTCAAGTCATTCTCAACTGTCGCTGAATTATATTCGTATACCCCTTTTGGGTTGCCGTACGGAATACGTACTTACTAGGAATAGTAAAATAAAAAAATATTCCATCTCGCCAACCCAATAATAATATAAAACCCACGTCGCTCGTTCGGAATCTAATATCGATCGTTCGCAGAGTTGGTCTTATCAGCCTAGTAAGGGCAATCGTTATTCCAGCGCATTGTTATATAAATACACGGGATAAACTTTATTTTATATTGTTCGTGGGATACCCGCAGAACATTGAATATTATTTTCTTTGTACGTCGTCATTCGAGTATGTTTTACGCGTTCGGTTTTCAAAACATAAATTGTCTTTTCTACAGCAGAAATAACGCGCGATGCACTCGTGAAATGCACCAATCTCAATTTTATGTTGCAATTATTTGGATTAAATTTTCATGTGTTTTTCATTTTTTTTTTTTTTTTTTTTGTCTTCAATCCGGTACTTAATCAATTGTTTCGTTTGTTTATAAAAAAATAAATACAGAATTATACAATTATAGTTAATTATTATATCAATAACGTACTGTTATATAATTATTTACTATTTTCTACTGAGCTTCTGTAATAATACCATTTAGTATTTTCAAAATACCTGAGCTACTTACTCTTTACTTGCAATTGTATAAAAATATTCTAGAATAAATAGTTCAGTACAAATTATATTTAAATAGTTTATTTGATAAAAGTGAAATAAATATAATTCATAATACACAAAATTTACACAATTCATGAAAACAATATGCGTCATTAAATTTGTATAGCATTTATTACAAAAATAATCTTACAAGTTTGATTTATAAGTAAAATCATTTATAATCATACCAATTATAATATTTCACTACATCATGTATTAGTTATTTATTTTCAAAATGTCGAATAAAAATTAATAAATTATATTTGTAAGTAGAGCTTTAAATTGTACGCACTAAATCTGCACTCAATATGCACCAGTGGCAGATTTATGGAGGTGACGTGGTGATCGCCCCCTCCTTGGGCTCTTAAATTTCTCAAATTACGGTAAATTCTTCATTGTACTTTATACATTACTCATAAATATTCCTATTCACCCTCTTCCCTCAAAACAACCTTCAAATCCACCACGGATATATACAGTATATTATATTATAATGGCTTCTTTCAAAATCTTTTTTTAACTAGAAATTAATTTTCAAACTAACTACTTTAAAAACATAAATCTAACATTTAAGAAAATAATTTCTCTTTATTTCGTGCATATTACACTACGCTGTAAATAATGAAAATTCATATTAATTGGTACATACTTAAGATACTGTGAGCTTTGTTGTATTTGTCAGAGGAATATTTTTGAATTGTTTTTTTTTTTTGAATCGTGGCTGCATTACATTTTTTAACAATTAAATTTATATTTAATTTATCCGTATGGATTTTACTTTACACTTAACTTTAATAATCATTGTCTCGAAAAGATGCGTTGTCCGTTGGAATGAATTGTTCATTTAACACAATGGTCGTTCACCACATAAATTACACTATTTTAATGTTATTTATTCTAAGACGACACTTGTATTTTCTTTTACTACTTATGTTATGTAACGATGATGAAAATAATAATAACTGTACAACTGCTGTAATATAATTTAAATGTATACGATTACATTATATTACCGTCTACTTTAATTTAATTTAGACTCCATATAATACTACAGTAGTCATAAAAGGGTCACAGCTAGACGTTTAAAGAGTGTGTGTTTGTGGATTAAACATGTTTATAAGTTCAGACTCGGTTTTATCAAACGAAGCAGACACCCAGAAAGTTATTGCAATAGCTACTGAAATTGTGCACTTTAATATTATGATACAGGTATATATGCATGGATAATGTTTGAACAGAATCAATTTTTCATTTTATATGTGCGAGAAGTAGTATCAAAGTACCGCGAACGAATAATATTGTTTTTTTTTTCGTTTGAGGTTTATGTATTTTGTATTATTATTTTATCATTAAGCAGTGGTGCAAAAAAAGGATTAATTGCGTTTGACAGTTGTACAATGTCAATCTCGGGTTGTTATGACCGAGAGTTGAGCTTAATGGCGTTTTGACTTTTAGTTTTACACGGAAAAGCTTTTGGACATTGACCAAATCAAATATGTAAATCACAACTACTCATCTGAGTTTGACTGATAATTTATATTAAATTTATGTAGGTACTATGCGATGTTTCTATGTTTGAACACATAAAAATCATTATAACTTATTAAAATATAATCGCCAATTAATTATGAAACTAATTGGATGAAAAATGTTTACAAAGTTGGTCAAAAAATCGTAAGGTAATCATATTTTACTAAAATACATTAAAAAAATAAATATTTTATGTTGTACTCATACTTAAAATTGAAATATTTTGTCGTTATCGATTGTTTTAAAATCAGTTTTAGTGCGATGACGTCTCAAAAATACCATACAGATCATACGCATTTGGAGAAAATATTGACTGGAAATCTGTCCCCTGTAATAGGTATATATGTATTTTGGTATTTTTTACCATGTCAAACATTTTGGTATATAATTATTCTCATCATTAAACTAATTTGAAAAATAAGAACATCGGTCCGAAGGAATTCAATTTTTTAAATATTTTTTGCAACTAGCACCAGGCTTCACATGTCATCATTAGCTATATAATTAGTAGTAGTATTTATATTAAATATACAATTATATATTTAGTTATATTATATTTACATTATCCTATCATGTAAATCATAAATACTTGTACGCTACTGTTTTTGTATCCGTATCAGAATAAAGGTATAAAGGTACAGTACAGTTATGCAGTAACATTGATTATTTTATTTAGACAGTTGAGATTTCAGTACACGTGTTCTAGACTTAATTAAATCCCAGTCTAAATAACCACCGATTAATAATCTAGATCCTTGGTATCCTTTACGGCCGTGTAGCACTCGATGGTTGTCAAATGTCAAAATGTCTCCTGAAAAACAAAATAACAGCAGTTAGCAGTTTTTTATGCGTTCATACCATTTGTACCAATGGTTTCAAACATTTTTTTAAACACTGCATACTGCGCTATTCATAAAATCTTTAACTCGTTTTGGGCACGAATAAATATTTTAGAAATTTTCTTTACTTAAAATTGTTTTGGTCATTATTTCATTATTTTTACACCAAGTTAGATAAACAAAACTTCATAACGCGTATGCATATTTATTTTTAAGAAATTGCAGTAGGTACTCCTAGAGAATGATCGCGACACACGTGTTTGAAAAACATTGATCAACAACTGACCTATACGGTAAAACTATCGAAACATTAGTTAAAGAATTCCATCGGTAATAAAATCTCCAAACGACGGTGTACGATCGCATAAAACGCTTGCATTGAATAACAACGCGCAATATTGACTCATACGTAAACGCTTTTGTTGATTAAACGAAATAAACGGACGCGCACGAAAGCAATTTGAGAGTTATTTTCTGAACACGTACCTGGTTTCATTTTAAATGTGCTGATGATGTTTTCGTCGTATGCAATCTTCACGAACTGTTCGATCGCATCGTACCAAATACGAACATCGTCTATTGACACGGGAAACGTTGAATCTCTGTGTGGTTCGCTGAAATTAATCCGTTTCACTCGTCCGTGGCCGTCTTCGCTGTACAAAAATAAAAGCAATTATTCCATGAGTTTTAAATACCATACGTATCGGTTGAACAGTACCGTAAAAATTATAATAAATCAGGACGGTCCGAACGTACACGCCAGGCGAATGCGATTTTTTCGATTATTGTTGAAAACCCTCGAGACTTACGTACATGTTGTTGGCACGCGTGTGTTATAAACTATTCGTGTCGTTATCATAATGTCTGGCGGAATGGAATTATAAATCTAGTAGCACGTGATGCCGTTGCGAAATTGATGTAATTACTTTTGAATACTATTATATGAACAATGCGATCCGTGTTAAACATTTTTTTAATTTTTTTTTATTCAAAACAGAAAATGAAACAAGATTTTAGTGGGTTTTCAAACATAGATCGTATTGCATTTCATGTACATCATAAATATTGTATTACGATTGCTTATACAACGCATTCGAATTTCAAGTCATAATATGACCCAAGTACATATGATTTTCTATAGAAGTAATCACACATCTATCCGTATACTTTATAATGGTCCGTCTTTAGTTATTACCTACTTAAACAAATTTTTAATTCTGTAACTAATGACTCATATAAAAATAATACAAAACAAAATATTTCGTTTGATAATGGTTTTTCGTTTTATGCTTCGAAAAATTTACCTAAATCCTATATTTTTGTGTATTAAATTATTTCGTAATTTTTAAACAACCGAATGATAAAATATCAATGTTTTTTTAATTAACCTAATTCAGAATCAATTATTTATTTATACATAATTCGCTTAGTTGGCAGTTTAAAATTAAATTAACTAAAACTAAATATATTGACATAACTATAAAGCACACGTTTGTTCGCCTAATTTTAAGACGGTAAACAAAGGTAAGTGTACCTATATAATATGCGTACTCGCACGAAAATATACTTCGGGCGTACGTTCGAACACAAGTCGAATTGTTTTTTTTTTTATCTATTAAGTTGAACAAGATGTATTGTTCATCACCTAGAGTTAGAACAGTATAACCCGGACGTATTCCACGCAAGGTTTCGTGAAAAATAAATGTTACGGCACCAAATGTGTCTAAAATTTAAATATTTCTTACGTGGTACGCGAAAAATGTTTCAAAACGTGTATCTTATAAACGTTCATCATTCCGCGTTCGTGCGACACTGCCGTTGAACGGTGTCTCCGTACTATCTCCTTAATGGGCAGTATTTGAAGATTAATTATTCAAAAGCTTATGATTTAGATGGCGTACCGCGGCTTTGTAAATCATCCGAATGACGTGTCGCGTGCTCGTAGTACACGCGTATACTTATCGGGCGCAATAATTTTGAGGTACTCACCAAATCACAGGAGCGTGGTGAATGTTATGGAAGTTGTAGCCGTTATCGTGTCCGTGATCAATCCACCTCACGGGTATCGTGGACAAAGCCTTATAGCGGTTCGGATTGATTTCCTTCAATCGTTCGCACACGAAGAGCCCATCGGTCACCTCGTTTTCACCGCCACTGGACTCCGGTTGGATTATACAGTGCAGCAGAATCACCTTTATTTATCAAACGAACGCGTTTTAATTGAAAACGTTTATTATAGCGATTTTGATTCGAATGTTTGGTAAACAACAACTATATACTAGTTTATATACCGAAGTATATATACTTCGGACTCAAAAAAAAAAACAAATGAAAAAATACGCTTTATACCTATAGACAGTTTATACGGAACGAAAGTTCCATTGGGGTTATTTGTTTGTACTCGAAAGCAATAATAAATCATAACTGTCAAAAACCGATTCTGAGTTTTTTGAAATAATTTCATTCTAGTTCTTACAATTTTGCGAAGCGCAACATAATTGATTTTAATTTCCGAACATTTATTTAGCATCTTCACGTTTAAAAAATACGATCTTATGAATAATATCGTTTTTCTATCCACTTTGTACTATTATTTTGAATTAATATCCTTAAACTATAATATTCATTAAATTGAGTGAAAAAATATTTAAAAATAGTTTTTATATAGTATATAGTTTTTCAGTGAAGGGTTAATCAGGTGCAATGTTCATTATCTACAATTTATTAATATATTTAAGTCAACATTTATATTAATTGAAAAAAGTTGCCATTGTAACTATAACATTATGCAATTACGAGCATGTTACTATAAATAAAATTATAAAACATTTTTAACATTAATCATAACCAAAGATTAACTTCATTGTTTGTTTAATAACTAAACGTAGTTTCGAATGAAGCTTACAACTCACAGAATATAACGAAATCAAACAGAACTTTGCACCGTGGTCACATTTATAATAAACAGCTACTGTACAAAATGCTTATTTAAATATCCTGCAGTTACATATTACAGTTAAAGAAGAGTTATTTATGGAAATCTCGTGCGAATTCGGCTTATACCGTCATAACATATCATATACCAATCAACATACATAAAATAATTTCAGCAAAACTATTAGGCTAACTGAACAAATTTCCACTTCACTCAGAATTAATTAAACAAATAGATAAATTACCTTAATACCGTTATTCAAATTATGATTTATCTTTAAATACGTACATATACGTATTATATAAGTCTTATTCTCAAAAATATTAAAATCGTAAAAACATTTTGAATTCCAATGGTCCACGAATTAAAGTGTCAAAACAATATTAATTAAACAAAAATATTATAATCTTAATTGTGAGTTTCATATGTGAAAATGTTTATCAGGAACTTCCTCTTAGACACATCATAATTGTATTCGATACCGAATAAATAATAATGTTTATATCAAGAATCAATAAAATATCATTCGAAAAATAACATAAATTTAGTTATTACTAGTTATACAATAATAATAATACAACATATAATCATAAAATTAAAATTACCCCAGGTGTGTATTCATAGTACGGAAGATCTGTGTGAAGTTGTAAGTACGTCGATCTATATGCCAAATTGGTCGCATCGTCCTTTGCTTCGACTCTGAAAGTTTTTCTAAAAAACACAAGACGGTAATATTGTTTGAGTTTTTCAAATGTAAAATTTATTTTAATACCAATAAAAGTCGCTGTTTGTTAATTTTCCTAATGATAAACTATTTAAGTTTAAAATGTTTTATCTTACTACGAATAAAAATAACAACGGAAACAATATTACGTTTATTAGAGTTTGTTGTGCGCACACGTAAATACTATGGCTAATACTTAAAAACTACTCAATGGCAGTTGTTATTCTATTGCTTTCTTAAAAATTATTTTATATCGTTTATTTTTAGAACGAAATACGCTATTATTCAATATTCTTTATATTATTTTTGTAGAACAAATTTGATCGAAAAATTGGATGAAGATTTAAGGTACAATTTTTTATTTCTCAACCTCTTATTTTTTTTTATTAAGATTTGGATTTCAATTATTAAATACAAACGTCATTTAACTTTACTAAAGGAAAATATTATAAGAACACTTGTTCTTAAATAATATTATTTAGATTAGTATTTTTATATCTATCTTAGCTTGATAATTATTTTGAAAATTAATCTTAAAATTATTATGACACATCAGAAAAATAAAATATAAATGTTGGACAGTTATATAGTTCCTTGTTTTAGATTTTAGCAAGTAAACCACAATTAATTATAAACAGTGCCGGCGCTAGGTATTGTGGGGCCCTGGATATAGGTTAGCCTATAGGTTCCCAAAGAGGGGCGAAATTCTAGCATTTTTTTAAATCAGGATTTTTTCAAAAAATATTGTTTTTCTTCGAATTTTAAACAATAACTATAGAGAAAATAAATATTTATATTATTATTTATTGTAGGAAGCCTACTCGACGGGTATCGTCAAAATATTACGCTTTCGTCGTATCGATAACGATTTATTTTGTAATTCGTACTATGGCTAAATTTAGATATAATTTTCCAAATAACTGATAATAGGCATAATATAGATTTATAATTTGTCGATATAAAATGTGAATGTGTCTCACGGTATTAAGATGATAATTAAAAATCACGGGGCCCTTTAACAAGCGCGAGGCCCTGGACAAATGTCCCATTTGTCCTCCCCTAGCGCTGGCACTCATTATACTGATTACGCCTGATTATAAACATTTAAATTATCTTACCAATATTTCAAGTATTATAATATTATTGTAATAATAGTATTATAATGCTTTGCAAGCATAACAATTAATAATAATTTTTTAACTGAATTAAATGATACCCATCAGGTAATTTAAATAACTTGGGAGAAATAACTACATATTATGAAATATGGTCGATGATAATGTTTTTCTTGATTAATTAAACCAACTAATCAATTTGTCACGAATGAAAACAACAATTATGGGTATAATTGACATGTGAATAATATCGGTTAGGTATAATGGTTTAGGCTCGGTACACACGTGCGTTATTTTGACGTGTGGCACCGCTACATCATCGTATTTGCGAGGTGTTATATTTATAATTCAATTGACCGATACACACACGTCTCCGTCACCACACGTTATCGTACGAGCTCGTACGAGACAAAAATTACTCCGATAACGCAACGTCAAAATATCGTAAATGTGGCATCTCATTACATAGCGATTTATTGATTGATACACATGCGCGTGTTTTTTTTTGTAATAATGGCTTTGAACACACAATTTTAAATTTTTAACATCGAACATTTTTTTTTGCGGAAATAAAGAAGTACCTACCCTGAAGTTTGGAACTTTATTTGCGAGTCAAATCGTGACTGACTAATAAAACAATTGGATTGAATTCATATTTGCCGTGAATTTTTCGAGGGATTTTATGAGAAAGAAAATGCAATAAATAAGAGAACATATTTGACTTAAAGAGATGTACCCAGTTACGTCTGTTTTTTTTTTCGACAAATAGTTTTTATAAACTAAAAACGCAAAAAACTACCAGTTTTCGGTTGTACACTTCCATAATCAGTAGTCACTTCGCCTAGTGTATCGACACATTTGTCGTAGTTCAAACGTTGGTGTTCAAGCGGTGCCGCGTGTCAAAATAACGCACGTGTGTATATTACAATTAGGGATGGGCCGATACCACTTTTTACCGATACCCGATATACCGATTTATACAACCGATATAAAACCGATATCCGATATTATAATCTCAAGTAAAAACTAAGTTGATTTTTAATATATTACATAAAAAAATCAACTTTTTTGGCAAAACCATGAACCGATACTAAAATTAATCTGACACCACAAACCGATAAAACCGATACCCGATATTATAATCACAAGTAGTTTTGCGGTATCGGTTTAAATATCGGTTTTGAAAATAAACCGATACCGATATTTCCGATACCACCAATATCGGCCGATACCAAGTATCGGTTCTAAGATCGGCCCACCCCTAATTACAATTACGATGACGCAGCGGTGCTGCACGTCAAAATAACGCACATGTGTACCAAGCCCTTATACATGGTTTCTGCTGCTAGCCGATAATCCGGAACCGATCGGTAAACGACCGCAACATCAATAAATAAGATATGAACCGCATTAGTCTAATTATTGTATTTCTGCCGATCCGATCCGATCCGACGTTGTCCGGCCATCGGTATCCGATAACGTCAGACATGAATGCCTACAATGGTCCCGACGTGATCCGTTGCATACTGTATACTGTCTAACCGTTCTACTGCAGTCTGCAATAGAAGCAGGCCCGTATTTAGGGGTGGCACGGGTAGACACATGCCAGGGGGCGTCAAGTCTCAGAGGCGGCAAAATATTTTAGCAAAATTAATTTTAAAAATTATGTACCTAATGAAAAAAAAATAAAACAATAAAAAAAAGAAAATATTATGTTTTATTATGTTATAATTTGTTAATTAAAAAAAAAAAAAAAAAATGGTATGTTTTATTATGTTATAATTTGTTTAATTTGTTAATTAAAAAAAAGTATTAAACGATTTTCATTTAAAAGTTATTTTTAATATTAAAGAATCTCGATTATAAACGAAATAATAAGTGTTAAATTATTATTATTTATTTGGGGGGGGGGAGGGGCATAAATTATATACCCGTGACGCCAATTTTTTAAATACGGACCTGAGTAGAAGCTACTGCAGTAAACACGTGATAGCGAAATGAGTGATTCTGATGATGATTTTTTGTGCTGGTTTTTGATGGAAAATATCGTCCTTCTAAAGAAATGTAGAACAAAGACATGGGTCCATGAATTCAATTTAGACCAATCTAAAGGAGAATTTTATACAACGTGTGTACCTATGCGGAATTACCCGTTCCAATTGATTCCTACAGCTCACATTTTATAACATGGTTGTAGTAAGTTTTCACCCTCTGGTCCTACAAACAAGGTTCATCTCTTACAAGCTGTATTAACATCTCCTTGTCAATTTTTCCCGTTGTTTTTAAAAAAATTGTCTAATTTTCAACTTGTTAACTTTTATAATTCAGCAAGTTTTAACTTTATCAACTACGCGTCGGACTGGAAACAAACATGATTGATCGGCCGTCAAATCGAATAATGTCGGGAGTCGTCGGAAATAGAGAATTCGAGAGCTTCGTTTCAACTCTAGGCACTAGTATTAACATCAAGATTTTTGTTTTTTTTCCGACGTCGTCCGATATTCGGACGACGCCAGATCGGATCTGATCGGGAGAAATACGAATCTAAGTGCAGCCTTATCGGAGCCACACTGGTCGATTCGGCGAACCATATTGTATGTATTAATTAACCAATATAAACGTATATAATTTTGTAACATAATATAATTGACAATACAAAATAATTACCATAAAGGTTTGTATAGTAAATAATAATATTATTGAGTAGTGGGATAAATTAACTACGAATACATTATAATTGTTAGGTTGAAAAAATAACAGTAGTGCCAGTTGTATTAAAATAGTTCAATGCGATTATTTTAACCTTTCAACATTAACTTTTACTATAATTTCTGTGTGTTTTAGTTGTTTATTTATTTCATTGTTGAAACAGTTAAAAATCATTGTACAGTGATATATTATAAGTATCTCATAATGATGTATATAATACCACGGTCAATAGTCACCTCGTCACCAAATAAATCATAGGTACTTACCTACTTATCTACCTAACCTATGTTGTATGCTGGGGTTACGAGGAGTCTTACTTCTATGTATTAATCAATTTAATTAATACCTAATTCATTGTGTTATAATCAATGGTTCAACAGTGATAATTTAGAATTCCATTAAGGATATCCATTTTTACTACCTAGAAAATTATAGGTTTTTTTTTTTTTTTATGTTGAAAATTAAAAAAATAATTTTATAATGACGTGTTTAATAAAAACGAAAAACATTATTTTATAATTCTTGTTACATTATATGAAGCCGTAAACGTAGATCGTACATACAAAAAATCTTCTGCCGCAAAGAAGTATGCAAGCCGCATAGCTGCTTATGAAAAAACGGAAATTAAAGCTGCAAATTCTATTGTGGAGCTGTGGGGGTGTTAAAATGTACTTGATTTAAATTGAGGATCATATCAAAATTAATGTTTCACAATTCAAAGAGTGTCAATCAAGGATGAACGTATGTAAAAAGTCGGTTAGTGAGGTTTTAAAAAATATCATAACCTTAGTATTGTTGCTTATTAATCTTTAATGATAAGTACATAATTGGTAATAATATTTCGTGGGGAGGTCCCCTTCGCAGCGAATAGCTCGATAGCGAGTAGTCCGGCGGCGGAGCGGTCGCGGTGAAATGTCCTAGACCCTATTTTGTTAACTGTAGTGAATAACATTGAATAAAATAGTATGGATTGTGAACATTCAGCTTTAGCTTCTTAAATTTGCATCATGCAATTTATAATGCACTGCAAATGTATATCTTGTGGTGTTATATTTTATAGTCTTAATAGAAGTTATAAACATTTAGTTACAAAGGATGAATTACATTTTTCGAACGTACCAAGAGATAACAATTGTCAAGTGAAGGAAGAAAATTTATTTTAG